CCCGGAGCCCCCCCCGGGCCGGACTCGCCCCTGGGCGGCCCCCCGCCGCAGCTCACCGCGCTCTGCGTGGCGGAGCCGGGCGGAGAGGACGGAAGCCGAGCGAGGGCCAAACCGGAGGAGGAGGACGAGCGCTTCCCCATCGGCATCCGGGAGGCGGTGAGTCAGGTGCTGGACGGGTACGACTGGACTCTGGTGCCCATGCCGGTGCGCGTGAACAACGGGAGCAAGAGCAAGCCGCACGTGAAGAGGCCCATGAACGCCTTCATGGTGTGGGCGCAAGCCGCGCGCAGGAAGCTGGCGGACCAGTACCCCCACCTGCACAACGCCGAGCTCAGCAAGACCCTGGGCAAGCTGTGGAGGTAAGAACTGGGTCGAACCGAACCTGTTGGTCCTCAGTGACGACCTGTCAACAAGGACCTGACCACTGATCTTTTCCAGACATGTGCACCTCACGTGCACCTCCAGGCCTGAACAGGTCTTGTCTCTGTCCCCCCAGGCTGCTGAACGAGAGTGACAAGAGGCCATTCATCGAGGAGGCCGAGAGGCTGCGGAAGCAGCACAAGAAGGACTACCCGGACTACAAGTACCAGCCCCGGAGACGCAAAAACGGGAAGCTGACCCCGGCCAGCGAGTCCGACAGCCAGGGGGAGGGGGAGTCCAGCCACTCCCAGTCCCATTACAAGACCCTACACCTGGATCACAGCGGGGCCGGGTCTCCCCTGGGGGACCTGCACCACCACCACCACCACCACCATCCTGCTGGTATGTCCTGGTTCTGGTGTCAGGACCGTTTGTTGTGGACAGAAAAAGACAAAATAATTTAAAGCTCGCCTGTTTCTTCTCTTTTCTAGGTCAGGGTCACAGCCCACCCACGCCCCCCACCACCCCAAAGACAGAACTCCAGTCTGGGAAGCTGTCAGATGCCAAAAGGGAGGGGGGAGCAGGAGCGGCTGGAGGATCAGGGGGGTCCCGGGGCCCCCTTGGAGTGGGAGCTGAAGGGGCATCAGGTGGTCCTTCTTCATCCGGCACCAAACCCCACATCGACTTTGGCACCATGGACATCGGTGAGATCAGCCACGAGGTGATGTCCAACATCGAGCCGTTTGACGTGAACGAGTTCGACCAGTACCTCCCTCCCAACGGGCACCCTCAGGGTGGAGCCGGCGCCCCCTCGGCCGGCTCCTCGGCCTCCTCCTACGCCTACGCTCTGGCCGCCGCCAGCGGCCACTCGGTCTGGCTCTCCAAGCAGCAGCAGCCTCAGGCCTCCCCGTCCTCCTCCGACCCCTCCAAGGCTCCCATCAAGAGCGAGTCCGCGACCGGCAGCCACTACGCCGAGGCCGCGTCCTCCCCCTCCTCGGGCACCCACGTCACCTACACCCCGCTCAGCCTCCCCCACTACGGCTCTGCGTTCCCCTCTCTGGCCTCCAGGGCTCAGTTCGAATACGGAGAGCACCAGGCCCCGGGGGCGTACTACGCCCACTCCAGCCAGGCTCCGGGGCTGTATTCAGCCTTCTCCTACATGGGCCCCACACAGAGGCCCCTGTACACGACCATCGGAGACCCCTCCAGCGTGGCGCCCTCTCACAGCCCCACACACTGGGAGCAGCCTGTTTACACCACCCTCACACGACCGTGAGGCAGCGGAGGAAACACGGGAAGTGTGTGTCCGTGTGTTTGTGCCATATTAGAGTCTGTTTGTTATTTAGCCGAGACGTGTCCCTGAACGTGTCACACACCTCCAGCAGCCCACACACACACGTGTGAGTCTGCAGCCACACACACACACACACACGTGCGCCATCGTGAACGCTCGAGTTCACACAAAACACACTTTGAACTTGGAGCGACGCTGCCCCAGGTGTGGACTCACGTGATTTTATTAACCGAACTAAAGAATTGTTGTCGTGTTCTTTTCTACGAGTAGTCTTGTTGTTAACGTTACTGTGTCCGACTGAAACCACCTCACGTGTGCACCACTGCTGTCACCGTCTTATGGCCAGAAAACCAGCGCTCCTCTCGTTTTAACGCCACTAAGGCGTTCATTTTCAATTCAGTTTATTTATATATTGCCAAATCACAAAAATAAATTAATAAGGAGGGAAGACGAAAACGATTCATAACGTGTTTTTGTCAGGTTACTTCTCAGTCCCAGTTAAAACTCAGTTCATCTCAGTTCACTTTGACTTGAGTTCATCTGAAAATGATACTTTGATGAATTTATTTGAGGCTCCAGGTACAGAGTACTTACAGGTTAGGACAGGGATACTGAACTGGCGGCCCGCGGGCCACTTCAGACCGCCCCGCCAATGAGTTCAATAAAAACATGAGGGGGCGGGGTCTGAGTTTAGTTTGTTACATTTATGGTTCAATGCAACAAAATAAACAAATGTAAAATATAACAGATCATTTAATACTTGGTTTATTTACAGAATGACTTTAACTGCTGGATGTCCGGCCCCTGAGCTGCTGCTCTCAGTAACTGTGGCCCCTGAGCTGCTGC